TAAGAAACAGTTTTCATGTAAAGTAAAAACAAACTTTTTTTGGGGGTGTGTATTGGGGGGTACCTGGCAGGCCACGGGCCTTGTATTTGACACGTGTGCTAAGGTATACAGTTTTTCCTCACTGTTTTTGTCCCACTTTTTAGGCATGATGGAAGGACACCATAGTCAGGCTATTAGCCTCGACCGACGCAGGCAGGAGCTGCTTGAGGCTCGCTTTACAGGAGCTGGTGTTACCAAGGTGAGTTAGTAATACATAAAGGGTGATCATTGTGATGGGCAGGGATGAATGTGGATTGCTTACGCAAGTGCTCGACTTTAAGACGATAGACTGACCTATAATAGTTTTTATGTTAATTCTGTAGTTTAGAGAGGTTTGAAAGTCGTCATCGTCTCCAGTTTGTTCTGTATTTCTCATGTTTCCTTGAATGGAAGGATCTGTGCTAAAGGTAAGGAAGACAAGAGTAGCTCTGTTCTGGCTGACATGGGAGCTGGCCAGCTGCTCTTTGTTTCTCTGGACACAAGTGACACCGCAGCCGAGGCGATTTGCCACAACTCTGTTGTAGATTGTGTAAATGGATGCACACTTGATAAAATGGCCACATCTGAAAAAACAATCTATTTATTATTTGASCTTTTATTTTGCTCAGAGTGACTTAGCCACRCAGCAGAACGTGGACTACAATAGGGTTGGATGAAGACACTTTTATGAACATGTACAGTCTGCGTACGGTTGAAAAACTGAGTTTGTTGACATTTTATAAGGCCTTAAGCAGCAGACAGCCAGCAGGCCTTAAAAGCTTTAGCCTGCTGCCCCAGTAACCTTGGTGCTTCTTCCAAGTCCCATCAGCTGGCCATGAATGAGTGCACTGATTCTACTAACTGGATGTGGACAAAGGATTTACAGATTACCATGAAGATATACACCTTGTGGTACCCTGACTAATGATTTCACATTAAATGTATTTCACTTTACTAAAATGTGCTGGAGCTTCCCTAGATACAAGAAAAGGCAAAAAAGAAAATAGAATTTTCTTTACTTCCATGGTTGCAGTAAATGTAGTGTTATAGTGGGTTAAATGCATTTTGAAAATGAGTTTTAAGGCAGCAGAATGTGACGCAGGTGGCACATCACTAATCAGTCACATCAATCTTTTGTTTCTCTCCTGTTTTCTAGAGTTCAGCCACCAGTGAATCATCAAACCAGTCTCTGTGCAGCACAGGGTCAATGAGTGACAAAGAAACAGAGGTTGGTGATTTGTCCCGTTCAAGCTGTCATTAAAAGTAGCATGAGCAAAAAAATAATAATAATAATAGGGTCAGCTTTACCTACGGGGTGAATGTAGCCTAAATGTGGATTTGCAAACTGCTAATGTATTAGTTGTTCTAAAATGTACCATCATTCTGCTTTTATTTTGTTGCTTTGTATAATAAAACTGCTGAAAAGCTTTTGAGGAGTAAAAAGTAAATGGAGGCTATATCTCTTGCTCATGTCAGACACCAGAGAAGAAAGCCAAGGAGAGAAGCAGGAAGAGAAAAGGAGACGTCTTTGACAGCAGCAGCCAAGGTATGTCCAACCAGTTTACTGACAGTTTCAAAATGTTTATTACCCAGCAGTAAATGCTCTCTGGATTCAAAGGAAGAAGGCAAGGCAAGGCAACTTCACAGCACCTTTGGCTAGGCGCAACTCAAAGTGCTTATACATAAAGATTAATRACATACATTGCATTGCATACATTAAAATAAACAGATCAAAACTGATTGAAAAAAATAAGAATAAGCAACAACAAATAAAAAGGTTTTAACCTTGTTTTAAAAGAGCTCAGGGTGGGAGCAGTCCTGCAGTGAACAGGAAGCTTATTACAAAGTTTTGGTTCATAAAAACTGAAGGCTGCTTTAGCATGTTCTGTTCTGACTCCTAGATTGCTTATTAGGTTTGATTCAGATGATCTTGAAAATCTTAACGGTTTATAGTAATGAAAATCAGAAATGTTGGTAATTCTTTGCTGTAATAATCAAGTCCGCTAAAAACAAAGACGAACTAATATTTCAGAATCCTGTTATAACATCAGTATTCTAATTCTGGCAATATTTTTAGATGATAGTATGTTGTCTTTATGATTAAAAAAAAGCTTCAGGTCAGGATCCATAATCACCACTAGATTCCTGGCTTTGTCAGAGCTTTCTAAACCAACAGACTGGAGATGGGCGCTAAGTTTTACTCTGTGCTCTTTTGGTCCAAAAATTAAAACTTTGGTTCCTTTTCAGTCATTTCACTCAGTACAACACAGTTGTATATGGGCCAAGCGCGCCCTCGCGCGCCTGGCTGAAGCCACCTCTAATCACGTCTTTAGACCGGTGACGT